CCCCAAAACCCCAAAACCCCAAAACCCCAAAACCCCAAAACCCCACAACAGGATTATAATATTGAATATTTACTCACTGAATTGGTTTATATAGCGGTTAGTTTCAGGGTCGATCTCAGCAAAATTTACATTATTTCCACTTCCTATATATGGCATTTAAGATAAAAATCAGAGGATACAGTGAGAAATGAAGGAAAAAGTCTTACCTGTCCTTCTTACGATTACTGAATAGAGTCTAGGTACATTACTAATAGTCCTTCCATGGACTTCTTCGGAATAATTCTCAACCAATCTGAGGTTATTAATGTAGGTGACTTGGCTCATATCAGGATCTGGGTGCTCCTGATTAGCAAAGTCTTGGTCAGCTCTAAAGATGATTCGGAACAGAATTTCAATTTCAGAGTTCATTGGAACTTCTACAGGAAGATCATATTCAAAGACTGTTTGCTCGTTCTGCCAATTTCAGTACCCTAACCCATTTTGAAGAATAGGTTCTCTGTGGTACGAAGAAGCACCTGGAAGAAGATATTCAATAGCCATATAATTGATCGTTAATCATCCGTTAAGTCTCCAAGTTAGGAGAATACTTTCATAATCAGTGAAGTATTCAGGAAAATCATACACAGGGTATGGCTGAATAAGATCAAAGTATGAAAGAGATAGCCTTAAATGTCTTGGGATCCACCCATCTGAGTTTCAGTCATGACAAAAAATATCTCCTCTGCTTCCAAATTCACTACTTGGAGGATCTTTATTGTCAGAAGCTTCAACAATGTACAAAGAAGTTCTAATATAATCGACATCTGTGAAGTAGTCCTCATTTCTAAAAGGCGGATAAGTAAGTGGACTTCATTCAAAAACTCTACTGTTCTGAGAGGTGTCCCAACTTGAACCATATGCCCAATCGTCAAGAGATCCATAGCATGGATATATGAGATCAGTCATTTCTCCACTAGGAATATCTTTGAAGCGAGATGAATGAACTTGATCCTGTAGAGCTCCTCCTATTCTTGCAAACATCTGGTTATCAGGAGTTTCAGTAGCTGTGATCTCATTTGATTCTGATACTGAAATATGATTAAATGATCCCCAAGGATAACCAATGATTTCCATTCCTGCATGAAATGTGAGAGCCCCAACAATGAAATTATTCCTGAAAATTTGTACTGTAGCTCTTGCTCCAACTGTGGAGAGGCATCGTGTGTCTCCATCTTGTCTATTATAAGGAAAATCTCTGTTTATGTCATAATATTGGCCTATATCTGTGAGTTCTTCTCTTCTATTTGCATAGTACCCTTGTGGATTAACAAAGGGTGTGATTAAAAGCTCTCTTTCCCTCAATAATTGTGTGACAAAAGGGTCTGTGCCATAATTAGTAACAAGATATTCGATTAAGTAGGTTGCCACATTGGCTCCAAGTCTCTCATTTCCATGCACAGTCCCACTGAAGTAGACCTGTGGCTTGTTCTTATTCACAAAATTAGAATCTGTTAAGTTCGCCATTATGATTAATCAGTTTCTATTGCCTCAAGTTCCGTACTGATGTGGGACATCATACTTCGAATGGACTGATTCAACGGTCAGCAGTTGGGGATATCTCTGTGCAAGTGTATGTATTCTTGTGACTATCTCTTGATATGATAATTCATAATAACTCTCTTGTTGTATTGACCCTATGTTGTTATCACAACCACTTCCAGCAGTAAAGACATGTAAAGATTTAGGATTTAGCTATTAAGTACCTGGAATAAACACAATTATTGAGATTAAGCAGAGAAGGAAACTGGTGTGGCTTAATTTCATTTTTAATATTATATTTCTGTTAGAATCGAAGAAAATGGGGTTTTGGGGTTTTGGGGTTTTGGGGTTTTGGGG